CACACACACACATATATATATATGTATATATATATATATATATATATATATATATATATATATATATATATATATATGCAGAATATTTAGTATCGATTGTGAAGATTTTTTCCTCATAGAACATCAACAAGAATCATAACATTCATCAGACTTATAAGGAAAATGTAATCAGAACCACGAGGAAAACAGAACCAAAGCACAACTTTCCCTGAACCACGCAGGTTAAAGTGGAAATTTAACCACACATTTCGCGGGGAGACCAGACGTTTCCACTCATAAAAGTCATTTGTAGTCCTATTGTAAATGCAAAACATAAAAAATACATTACTTTTTCCTCTTCTATGTCGTAAATCTTTGCTCGTGTGTCAAGAGCTTAAACATACTGATCTTGGCGCAGGAACGTTATGTCGGTGTGAGACTTGGCTGGCTGTTGCTTAGTGGGTAATATTTATACATATATATATAAAGGTGCATGTATTATATCTATCTATCTGTCTGTCTGTCTATCTATCGTCTGTCTGTGTCTATCGTCTGTCTGTCTGTCTCTCTCTCTATCTGTCGTCTGTCTGTATGTCTGTCTGTCTGTCTCTCTATCTATCATCTGTCTGTTTGTCAGTCTTTCTGTCTATCTGTCAGAGAGAAAGACAGACAGACACACAGACAGACAAGCAGATGAATGGACATAAAACTATCCATAGCTCTCACAAGTAATGTAAATATGATAATAGACGCGACAACGTTCCTGTTAGATTTAATGGCGCATAATTCTCGGCATGAAACTATCTGTGAGGACTTGGAATATCTAGCGTTGCTCTTGTTGATATACATTGCCAAATGCTGTTGGCTTGCAGTGACTGAAAGGTAGTATCTATAACGCTTCCTCTATTCTGTTTGCGAATTCACGTCCCTTGTTATGGTTTCACTGTTATTTTAGGGAACCAAGAGGGCTATCAGAACGGACGGTAGCGGTGATACTCGGCCTGGCTCAGGATATTTCTTCTTGTATTAAATAATGGATCACGTTTTACAATCGCTCGTTTGATTCATTTACTACTTTTTAAAAATGCGTTTTTCGGGGAGGGGGTTGTTTGTGGTAGCTGCGTTTTAGGTACAATCGTAAAATATTATTCATGTAAGAATGGTTATAAGTTAAGTTATGCTCTCTAGATGTATAGGCATTATGCCTTATGTACGGGTATAAAAACAAGATTTTTCAAAATGCGTTTCACAAGAACGACGAGAATTTCAGACTACTCCCCCTCCCTCTTTCTTCCTACCTCCCCCCCCCCTCCCCCCCATCCCTCTTCTTTCCATTTCCTGGCCGGTCTTGGAAGTGTAATGAGTTTGCATAAAGAAATATTCTCATACATGTTTTGGGCTCGTGGAAAACAAGCTGGAGAGGGAATACGTACGTAAACAAATGCCTCAGCCAACACAGGGGCGGTCGGTGTCTCCGAGCAGCTTTGCACCTCGAGTCTTCCGCGCAGGATAAAGCGACCGGCGGAATACGGTCGTAAATACAAGTCTGAACCTCCGGCTGATAAAATCGAGGTGACTTAAAGGGTGACGATGAACGGAAAAGCGTAAAGACCTTCGGGTGAGCGACCTTAAAGAAGTCCTGGGCTAAGACAGTGCCAAGAGCTAACACGCCGAGGTAGGAGTTGGGACCGCGCCGTAACTAATCAGGTTTTGCTTGTTACATCCTATTCAGAGGGGCTACAACACTTCTTGTTATAGGAATTTCTGAGGCAGTTTCAACTTTTCTCGATATTTTTAGAACGTGTCGGGACTTCTTGTAGTAGAAATTGTGGGAAAAATACTCTTCAGCTGAGAAATTTTAGAAAAGAATTTCTCTGTTATTATAAAAAGCCGCTTTTGTTGCAAAACTTTGCGAAAATGATAATGGTAATGATGATAATAGTGATGATAATAAGGATAAGCAGCAGCAGCAACAATAACAGTAGTAGCCGTGATACTGGTAGTAGTAGTAGTGGTGGTGGTAACAGTAGTAGTACTAGTAGTAATCTTAGTAGTAGTATTGGTAGTAGCAGTAGTAGAAGTATTGGTAGTAGTAGCAGTCTTAGTAGTAGTATTGGTAGTGGTAGTAATAGCAAAAGTAGAATAATGAAAATAGTAATAATATTAGGAGACTGGAATCCTACAATAGCAAAATCCTAAGAGAAGTTTACATCTTGGAAATACGAGAAAAAAACTCCTAAATACAGCACACATTTTAAGAAGAGCGTTATCTGCGAATTGAAAGAACAATGAACTCCAGTCCAAGGAGTGGCTCCCGAGGGGTATAAAATGTTACATTGTTTTGGGAGAGGATAATGATAATGATAATGACAATGGAATGGTAATCGTAATGGAAATGATAGTGGTCATGAAAAATGGTTACGTTAACAGTAATAATAATAGTAATCTTAATACTAATGGTAATAATAATAATAATCATCATCATTCGAATAATAATAAAACAAAAAACAAAAAAAATCACTGTCAAAGTCGCGCCTCACATACAGACTTAATGAGATTCCCAATTTTCCAGCCCTATAAGATTCCATATCGAAATGAGAGCTTCAAAGCACAATGCGGGACACGGCGAGAGAGGGAGCCGGGAAGCCGACGGCACAGCAGGAAAGCGACCGGGAGGAGGCGAGTGGCGTGCCTTCCCGGTAATGGTAGTTCGGGAGTACCAGCTGATGCGGTTGAGTCATGGATATGCAAGGGCGTGTTTGCATGCGTATGTATTGCATATATATGTGTGTATATGTATATGTATGTATATGTATGTATGTATGTATGTATATATTTTTATGTATGTACATATATTTATATATATATATATATATATATATATATATATATATATGTATGTAAAGATAGATAGATAGATATAAATAGAGATAAAAAGATATATAGATAGAAGTATGTATATACATGTGTATATGCATTGCGCGCGCGCGCGCGTGTGTGTGTGTGTGTGTGTGTGTGTGTGTGTGTGTGTGTGTGTGTGTGTGTGTGTGTGTGTGTGTGTGTGTGTGTGTGTGGGGGCGCGCGCGTGTTTGTATGTGTATGAGCCCCTGTTTGTATACATGCTCGTATGCCTTTACATCCCCCCCCCCCCCCGCGCCACAAACGCTCTTCGCAACAACGGCCGCGCACCAGGGATACCTCCCGACATTTCCGCCGCGGAGTGACTTCAATTCGGCGGGGTCGTGCGCAGGTCGTGCCTCCGTCAGGAATTCGTCATCCGTCAGCCACACCAGGAATCCAGCTGCCGGCCGTTGGAAGCTCGTGACTGGCGCAAAGTTACGGAATTTCGGCAATTCTCGGACTCTCTGTCGCACTCGCTGTTGCTGTGTGTGGTCTATGCGAATGGCCTGAGTGGCATTTGCTATTGTTGGGGTTATTATGAATGTGGGTTTGTGTAAGCATGTCTGTGTTGGAGCATTTAGATATACGGAGTTTCATGCATTCCCTTTTTACTTTATTCATTCATTCATTCACACTCATTCACTTACTCGCTCACTCATTCTCACTTACTCGCTCACTCATTCTCACTTACTCGCTCACTCATTCTCACTCACACTCACTTACTCGCTCACTTACACTCACACTCACTCACTCACTCACTTACACCCTTACTATCTTACTCCCACCCACCTACTCACTCACTCACTCACACACTCACTCACACACACACACTCACTCACACACCCACTCACACACCCACTCCCTAACTCACTCACTCACTCATTCTCTTACTCACACACGCACACACAGTAACTCACACTCTTTCACTCACTCAGTCTTTCACTCTTCACTCACTCTACTGAACTGACCTCAACACAACTCACCCACTCACACCTAACATAAACTTAAAAAAACTCACACTCACACTGTATGTTCTGATAAATTAAAACAATTCGCGAGCTTGTTACAATGATTAATAACACCGTTTGCAAAACAGCCAATACAACAACTGAAACACACAACCCAACAACCCAACAACCCAAATAGCTTACAACGGGAGACGAGAGTGTTTATATCCCGAATGCGAATTATGAAAAGTACTATTTAATCAGGTTATAGCAACGGTAATGTGATTATTTAAAAAAGTATGTTTTGTTGGTTGTCAAATAGGTATAGGATTTGTGAGCTGGTTTGCCTTCGTTGTGAATAGAGCGTGCCGTTGGGAATAACATATTGTTATTTGTGTTTATAATTAATGTTATTAGTATGATTATTGGTATCGTTATGGGTGGTATTATTATTACTGGTGTAATCGTTGTCATTAGTGGTTCTGGTATATCTTTATTCATATCATTAATATTGTTACTGTTTTTTTTATATTATTGTTGTTTTTATGTTAATGTTATTAATGGGGTTAATGTTATTAATACTTTTGTTATAATATTCTGATTACCATTACTATTATTGTTATTATTATCGTTATTGTTATTATCATCATTGTTCTCACTATCTTTGCTGCTGTTGTTCTGATTATTCTACCAATATTTTTATCACCACTACCACCACCACCTCCACCATCTCCACCTCCACCATCATCACCTCCACCAACACCTCCACCACCTCCACCTCCACCATCATCACCTCCCCCACAACCACAACCTCCACCACCACCACCTCCACCATCACCACCTCCTCCACCACCACCTCCACCTCCGCCTCCACCACCTCCACCTCCCCCCAACACCACCTCCCCCTACCCCTACCCCCACCTCCACCTCCACCTCCATCTCCACCACCACCACCACCACCACCACCACCACCACCACCACCACCACCACCACCACCACCACCTCCCCCTACCTCCCCCTACCACCTCCCCCTACCCCTACCCCTATCCCCACCTCCACTTCCCCCCACCACCACCACCACCACCACCACCACTGTTTTTATTTCCACCCTCCTATTGTGATAATAATCCTATTTAATAATCCTATTATCACAACTACCCTTCCGCTTTCCAGCTTGTCGGCCATCAGCATGATCGACGCTGAAACCCGAGACTAGGAAGAGGATCGGATATCAGCCCGTTTTCTCGCCCTGACATCAAGACTGAAGGATTTGCTTGACTTCGTCGTGGTGCCAGTTTCATCTCCCCCCTTTTTCCAAGACCAAATAGAGGTTTGTGATTTCTTTTTGTCTTTTTTTTGGGGGGGGGGAGGGGGGAGGAGGGGTTGATTATTTGTTGTCATTGGATGAGTTAGTTATAAAATTGAGGGATGGAGGGAGATGGCAAGGTTGTGATTTAGTGTGTTGTAAATTCTGTTGATATGAATCTTTTGTCACTTGATGTCATATGATTTATCGTTACTTGTACCTCGCTTTGTTTTATGCAGGTAATTATTTGTGTTTTTTTCTGGGGGGGGGAGACTGGTAAATACCCTACTGTGGTCTCTTAGTAACCACACGCAATTAAAATTTTAAATATCCTCATCACACTGTATTAACCAATTTACTAAGATTTAATAGGCATATAAAAACATCCGCCTAGCAGGAAACAATCAATACCAACTAACTCAGTAATATAATAATAATAATAATAATAAAGTCACGCACAAACTGCAAACATAACAGAGAGAAATCTGTCCTTCAAACAGCATTTCGACAGATCTCCAAGTCAATCTTGTGGCACGTGACATGTGGAAGTCGCCTCAATGAGTGACAAGTTCCTGGGAAGACACATTTGCAAACACTACAAGTGGCCTTTGCAAGAACTGAGATTCATTTGGGCATGTGTTTTTAGGTGCTGCCATTGTTCTTCAATGATGAAAAGGCGTTATTAAAAATTGTGCGTGTACTTGATTAAATTCGTGAATATATATGTTTATATATACATATATACACACATACTTCTACATACATGTATAAAGATGAATAGATAGATAGTTAAGTTAAATATATCGATATAATCACATATAGATCGATATGTAGATAGATAGATGGATGGATAGATAGATAGATAGACATACATACAGACAGATAGACAGATGGAGACAGACAGATCGATCGATCGATAGATAGACACATGATAAATGAATAAATAATATATAAATATTGAGAGAGAGAGAGAGAGAGAGAGAGAGAGAGAGAGAGAGAGAGAGAGAGAGAGAGAGAGAGAGAGAGAGAAAGAGAGAAAGAGAGATGGATGGATCGGCAGCTACATAAGCAGCTAGATATAATCATTGCGGAAAAGCATATTAGCATATGAATTTATATTTTTCGTTCTACTATTATTACACAGAGCTCATATAAGCCACTCCCTTACCTTATCCAGAAACTTTGACGATAAAACACAAATTACCACTGCATCCACAAACTGCTCGAAACACTAAAACAAACAATAGATCAAGGGAAGTATGGTCTTTAAATTAGGTGCCTGATACAAGTAACTTTTAGATCTTAATTTTTTCAGGGCCATTTGCTCCCTACTTCCCCTTTGTGTAAACATCTGTTAAGCCTGGGAAACTATATGTATATAACAGCATATAAACAGAGTAATGATATCGAATTATGTCTATGGATTATAGAGACATAAGACCTGATTCAAAAGATAATTTCTCTCATGCACTACACTACCTACAAACGCAACACACTCCAAATACCTTTCCAAATACCTAGGTACTTACACACAACTCAACTGTCAACACTGAGAACGATTTTGCAAAGTCCAACTGGATATGAATGAGCCTTTTTATTTAACATTCGCCACACGTAGACTGGCTTGCTGATAATGTGTACCTCTGAATTTAGTATTAAGAGCAGCAAATCCCGACTTCGCCTAGGGTAAAACAGCCGTTTTGGAGGAGAGAGAGAGAGAGAGGCTGTGTGTATATGTGTACCCTGTTGCGTTGTTTAGCTGTTTGGCCAAAATCGTCACAGTTCTGCATATGCTCTGTCGTGAATACTAATGCCTTCTTGGGTCCCGGAGATGATACCCTGGAGCGTGATACGTATTCTCTGAAAAAAAAGAAAAAGAAAAAAAATGAAAGGAAAAAGTGAGATAGAGACGAAGGAAAAAAATACGATGTAATAAATATTAGATAACAGTGATTATGTTGGTGATAGCGTTGATAAAATAGATATATAGTAGCAGTAATAATGTTGATAGCGATGATGATAATAATAGTAATACTAATAGCAACAGTAATGATAATGATTATGATTATGATAATAAAAGTAGTAATAATGATAACAACAATGATGATAATGATATTGATGGTAATAGTAATGCGACTGATAACAATAACAATGACAATAATAATAGTAATAATCATAATAATAATAATTACGATAATGATAATAAAAATAATAATAATAATATGGATAATAATAATGATCATAATATTGATAGTAATAATGATGATAATAGCAATGATTATATGATAATGATAATAAAATAATGATAATGAAGATGAGGAGAAATAAATGATGATAATGTAATCTCGATGATGTTTATAATAAAAACACCTTCAACAACAACCATAACATGAATGAGGATACTGATTTAGAATTGTCAGTGATAATGATGATCATCATGATAATAATAATACTGGGAATAATAATAATGATAATGATAATAATGATGGTAATGATGATGATAATGATAATAACAATAATGATAATTATTATGATAATAATAATAGTTATAATAATAATTGTAATGATAATAAGAATAATGATAATAAAGATAATAATAATGATAACATCAATTATGATAATGCTAATAATAAAAGGATGAAAATCCTAATGATAAATCACAAAACAACAGCGCAACATAATCGCAACACCATCAACATTCATGTACGTCACATTATACTTACATCCAAATAACCTTTACTAGTGAGAGAATGACTTAACAGAAGGGCTTTTGAAGTGACACAGTACTCCAGCAAGCAATTGAAACTCGGCGAACGTCACGAGTGCAAGTCAAAGTGGCATTACCTACCTGTTATCTGTCCCCTGCTTTCCTTAATGTGCCTCGTAGTTTGAAGTTCACCGAGAGTGCTAGATGCTGTATTCTGCCGGTGGAGAGAGATGGGGGAATAGTGTGATGCTTTGTGTATATGTGTGTATGTATATTGATATATGCTTAGGTACATATATACATGTAGATATAGATACATTCGTGTGCAGGCATGCATATATGCAGACAGGTAGGTAGGTAGACAGGCAAGCAGGCAGGCAGGCAGGCTGACTGGCTGGCTGGCTGTCAGGCTGCTGGCTGGCTGTCAGGTAGGCAGGCAGACAGACAGACAGACAAACAGACACACAGACACAAAGACAGACACAAAGACAGACACACACACAGACAGACACACACACACACACACACACACACAGACAGACAGACAGACAGACAGACAGACAGACAGACAGACAGACAGACAGACAGACAGACAGACAGACAGACAGACAGACAGACAGACAGACAGACAGACAGACAGACAGACAGACAGACAGACAGACAGACAGACAGACAGACAGACAGACAGACAGACAGACAGACAGACAGACAGACAGACAGACAGACAGACAGACAGACAGACAGACAGACAGACAGACAGACAGACAGACAGACAGACAGACAGACAGACAGACAGACAGACAGACAGACAGACAGACAGACAGACAGACAGACAGACAGACAGACAGACAGACAGACAGACAGACAGACAGACAGACAGACAGACAGACAGACAGACAGACAGACAGACAGACAGACAGACAGACAGACAGACAGACAGACAGACAGACAGACAGACAGACAGACAGACAGACAGACAGACAGACAGACAGACAGACAGACAGACAGACAGACAGACAGACAGACAGACAGACAGACAGACAGACAGACAGACAGACAGACAGACAGACAGACAGACAGACAGACAGACAGACAGACAGACAGACAGACAGACAGACAGACAGACAGACAGACAGACAGACAGACAGACAGACAGACAGACAGACAGACAGACAGACAGACAGACAGACAGACAGACAGACAGACAGACAGACAGACAGACAGACAGACAGACAGACAGACAGACAGACAGACAGACAGACAGACAGACAGACAGACAGACAGACAGACAGACAGACAGACAGACAGACAGACAGACAGACAGACAGACAGACAGACAGACAGACAGACAGACAGACAGACAGACAGACAGACAGACAGACAGACAGACAGACAGACAGACAGACAGACAGACAGACAGACAGACAGACAGACAGACAGACAGACAGACAGACAGACAGACAGACAGACAGACAGACAGACAGACAGACAGACAGACAGACAGACAGACAGACAGACAGACAGACAGACAGACAGACAGACAGACAGACAGACAGACAGACAGACAGACAGACAGACAGACAGACAGACAGACAGACAGACAGACAGACAGACAGACAGACAGACAGACAGACAGACAGACAGACAGACAGACAGACAGACAGACAGACAGACAGACAGACAGACAGACAGACAGACAGACAGACAGACAGACAGACAGACAGACAGACAGACAGACAGACAGACAGACAGACAGACAGACAGACAGACAGACAGACAGACAGACAGACAGACAGACAGACAGACAGACAGACAGACAGACAGACAGACAGACAGACAGACAGACAGACAGACAGACAGACAGACAGACAGACAGACAGACAGACAGACAGACAGACAGACAGACAGACAGACAGACAGACAGACAGACAGACAGACAGACAGACAGACAGACAGACAGACAGACAGACAGACAGACAGACAGACAGACAGACAGACAGACAGACAGACAGACAGACAGACAGACAGACAGAATAACACACATATTATATAACCTTTACAGAGATGGATTTACATTTACATATACAAGAAAAAAATAATAATATACGTATCACACCTCAAATAACAGACGTACATTCTCTGATAAAACGAAGAAAAAACAAACAAAAGAAAGAAGGAAAGTATCCCTATGATGAGGAAAAACGCCACTAACTCTTATTCTCGACATTCTGGTACCTCTCCCTGATCTAATTATGAAGTAATATCAAGGCCAGATGACATTCCTCGGGGCTAACCGACGCCTTACCGGACTGGAAAG